TTAAGCCGCAGAGACACGCAAATCTCCTCAAGTGTAAACGAGGAGATTAGGGCAGGATTATGCCGGGCTGGACTTCCTGCTCCGATGGACGATAGAGATTTAGGATGGCGGCAGGGACAACACACGGAGAACACACCATTTTGTGGGTGTGGAGGAGGCAGAGGACTCCTGGGTTCTTTTTTTTGGAAGGGAACAAGATGGAGGAGTGGGACACAAGTCCTGGTATCCCCACATAGGGAGCCAAAGAGCCTGGAGAAGTCACTGTTTTGGACTGCAACTCCCAGAATCCTGCCCCCAACGGCATGGCCAGGGTGGGAGCTGTAGTTAAAAAAGGAAAAAGGAACTTTCCCAAGCTCTGGGGACACAAAAGTGGAACTTAAATGAGCTTTTGTGAGGAACAGCAGAATATAGACTGCTAAATATCAACTGCTAATAGCAGAATATAAACTGATAAGGATGATGGCAGAAAGAATAGAAGTAGCAATTAATGACAATGACAATAACGGTGGCAAAAGCAACTAGCGATGGGAGGTGTAGTCCAAAAAGAAGCAGGGGCAAAAAGGGGACTTTTCCAAACCTAGGAGCCTCAGAGCAGAATAAGCAGCAGAATAATCTCAAATAGATAGGAATGATGGTGATGATAACAACAACAATAGTAATAATACTAGTGGTAGTAAAAGTGTAGTAGGTTTTTTACCTTTATAAGAGTAGTAGATTTATATAACAACAACAAAAACTATGTAGTTGTAGCATAAGTAGTAGATTTATATAATTATTGTTGTAGTTGTGTGCCTTCAAGTTGTTTCCAACCTATCACAGGGTTTTCTAGGGCTGAGAGAGTGTGAGTTGTCCAAGGTTACCCAGCTGGTTTCCATGGCTGAGCAGGGATTCGAACCCTGGTCTCCAGAATCCCAGTCCAACACTCAAACCACCACACCACATTGACTCTCTATAATCAAAACTACTAACATATCATTAGGGGGCTGCGTGGTATAGTGGTTTAACATTGGACTAGGACATTGGGAGACCAGGATTTGAATCCCAGCGCAGACATGGAGTATGCGCAAGTCATACTTTCTCAGCCTCAGAGGATGGCAATGGCAAACCCCCTCTGAAAATACTTGCCAAGAAAAGTCTGTGATAGAATTGTCATAGGGTTGGCATAAATTGGAAATGACTCGAAGGCACACAATAACATACAATTATGATGACCGCTATTTTTAAAACGCTTACTCTTCTTCCTCAAAATATCTGCAATAATTTAAAAATCCTGCCCAGGCCTGGCTTGGGAAGGAAGCCATTCTTTGTCCGTCCGTTCCGTCCGCCCCATGCCCCCCCCCCCCGCCTGGTTCTCAGCAAAAGCTTTGCAATTTCTCTGGCTCTGATCCTCGGCCATGGGGGGCTTTTGGTTTCCTGGCCCTCCTGGGGCCAATCCAAGAAAGGACTAGCTATGACAGAAGCCAACCCAGCAGGGATGCAGAGGATGGCAGTCATGGGGGGCAGAGACCCTCAGATCTCTCCCAGCAAGGACAGGAGCAAAAGCAAAGGCATGCCGCTGCTAACTAAATCCTCCTCCGGCAGCAGGATGACGGGTCTCCCCAGCTCACCCCAAAACCCAGCAATTTCTTCAATGCAGCTCCATTTCACTTCACAGGGAGCATTGCACCTCAAAGGCACACATTTATCCAGATTTATTAGCCACCAAAGCTTTCCTTGCAAACCACACATCCTGCCTCTTATTCGTAAGTGAGCAGAAGAAGTCCATCTGGGGCCAGAATCTCTTAGGGATGCAAATTGTGAATAAAATGGCACAAGGAAGAAGGGGTGTTGGCATCGCAAAGAAAGCTTTAGCGCTCCCTGAGACTAAGCCAGGCAGCCCTTTTTGTGGCAAAAAAGAGTAATTGCCTTAGCTTTGAGGAGCAGAAAATCGCTTCTAAAACAGTTTGGCATGAACTGATTGTCTGGTTTTAGAACTATTTTTAATGGGAGGTTTGGTTTTTGGTTGTTTATTTAATGTTATCAACTTCATAAAGATGTTGAACATCAGCAGGCGCAGGAGAGAACCCTGAGCCATCATTCCAGTTACTTCTTTCCAGGAGAAAGAGCAACCAGGGATGAACACTTTCTGGCTTCAGACTATGAACCCTTTGGAGACCCACAGATCACTAGCTTGCCTGCAAGAACATCATGGGGACTCTGTCAAATGCATTAGTGAACTCAAGATATACCAAATCCACAGCACTCCCCTGATCTACCAAGCTGACAACTATCAAAATAAAGAGATGAGATTAGTTTGGCATCACTTATATTTAAGAAACTCATGCTGGCTCTTAACAATCACAGCCTTTCTTTCTAAGTGCATGCTGTTTTTGGCCACGGAAATCCACTGGTGGCCTTAGGCAAGTCACACTCCCTCAACCCCAGAGGAAGGCAATGGCAACCCTCCTCTCAACAAATCTTGCCAAGAAATCCCTGCGATAGATTGGCTTTAGGGAAATGACCTGAAGGCAGACTTAAACTTTCCTGGTATCGACATTAAACTGATTGGTTGCAATTGCTTTGGTCCCCTTTTCTCACTTTTTTAGAAGATTTGGCCTTCTTCAATCTGCTGGGACCTCTTCTGACCTCCAAGAATTTGCAAAGATTATTGACAACAACTGTGAGATTACATCTACAAGTTACTACAGTACTCACGGATTCTCGCTTCCATGCCTGCATATGCAGCATCCTTGTCTTCCACTTTAACCTGGACTTTCCAAACCCCACAACAACAGCTCCCTCCTATGGAGGACTATCTAAACCATAACCCACAAGCCTCAGCAGAAAGGGAGCAAAGAAACTAGTTCAAAGGCATTAAGTGCCCTTCATTAGGGCAGTTCTGCAAACTAAACGCTATGTTCTAGAATAGATACAGCCAATTGATGTTATTTTTTAAAGTCCAAAAACAGTTATTGGGGTGCTGGAGTTATATGCTGTAACATTTCAGAATTGTGGAACAAAAAGTCTCTGAATTGCCCCAGAGTCCCTCCAAAATAATACCAGTTAAAAGTAGACTGTCCTCTCTCTCCAAGAAGACCTCTCCAACCAGGGGGTCCCTCCTGGGTTGGTTGGACTACATCTCCCAACAACCCCACAGCCAGTGCCCCCAAGTTGGAGGAAACTGGCTTCAATCCACCACTCACTGCAACACCTAGCACCAAGTGAAAAGGCAACGCATGGTTACAAAACATACCGGCAAGGGCACAGGTAAGGATGCTCCCTAAATATAGCACTTCTCTGAGCATCTCCCACCTCCGTCCAATTCCAGAACGCTAGGGACAAGGGATGAAGGAAGAGATGCTGAGATGGCAAAAACATTGCTTGGCTGGACCCCAAACAAGGCTGAGAAACCAGGTTGCAGGACAAAACAGCAATGCACCCTAAAGAAAGAAGGGTCTTTTTAATGGACTGCTTTGTCCACCAACATTTGGGGATCCCTAAAAGATGGGGAGGCAGGGAAGAAGACTGAGGGTACAACCCACACCACTAAAGCCAGAGCAAGGCAAAACCAGAGAATCTGACCTCCAAGCTTTGTGGCTGTATTACAGACCTGCGACAGGCAAAGGGAGATAAAAATGAGACACCCTTCCAGCTAATAAAAAATGGGTAGTTATTACACACAAGGAACCTCCTCAGTTTCAGTTCTCTGTCTCTGATGGAAAACCATCAAGAGGACAAGGTCTGGCCATACTTTCTGGAAAGGGACAAATGGAGAATCCTGCAGCCCACTTTCTTTCATGAAGAATTTAGGGGCCTGGTCTGCAAGGGGCTTGGCTGTGAACCTGGGAAGGGAGGAGTGGAAGCTTGTGGGGTAAACTGAGAGAGCAAGTGGGGCACCTCAGGGATATCTAGACCAACCCCATGCCAGCACGGGTCTGTTGGGTGACGCTCAGAGCAGGTCATGGAGGGTCTTTGTTTGCAAATCCAAAATGGGTTCTTTTTGGGGTGGGGTGGGTGAGGAAAAATTAAATTTGGGGGTCCTCTCCACCCTCCCACCCCACCACTAACCCTTTCCAACCATTATGTAAAACAAAATAACCAATAAGTGCCCAATGAAAGCTCAGCATCCATACTGAATGCTGGTCCAAAAGAGAGAGAGGTGTTTCCATGGTCAGGCCTAGGCCTTGATCGGAGGTCAAGTCCTTGCAATGTCCCCCCCCCGCAACACACACACACACACACACACACACCAAGCAGGGTACGCAGCACCCCAAAGGCTAGAGCTGAATGGAAATTCTGACTGTGGGGATTTCTAATAGCCCCCCAAAAAGCAACTTTTCCTTGCCAGCTGTGCCACAGGCAGACATCCCTGAAGGATTTAAGGACATCTCTCCTTCCCATACAAATGCAGACACAGCAATCTGAATAAAGACAATTCACTAACTGTGGGAAGAAAAACACATCTGTTGGGGGATGATTTTTGCTTGCTGTGATGCCATGGCAGTGCTGTCCAATGCTTAGAAGATGCTCAGTACTGATCCCAATGTAATAATGGCTATCCCTTCAGAAGTCCACTTCCATACAAACCTCAGTTCTACCTGTCTTAAACCTGTGAAATGGTCACAAGGGAGAAAATCAACCCAATTTGAAGGAAGTAAGAGACTGTGTTTGGGCCTGTTCAAATCTCCCCCATTAATTTCAGACGGTTTTCTTCAGTAAGGGATACTCTAGAGGTGGTTTCTGCCAGCTCCTTCCTCGCAAGTGCATCCTATGCTTGCAAAATGCAAAATGCCACGGACGTCAGAAATGCTATGTACAATACCAGCAAACTATCAGGCGGAGATGCCATTAATATGTGAAATCTCACTTTGCAATTATTTCAAACACTCGTCGTGTCACAAGTGGTGCAGACAGTAGAGCGACAGAAGCGAGGCTGCCCCTAGGCTGCATCCACACTGGAGAAATAACCTGGTTTGGCACTGCTTTAAC